CTCGCTCGCAGGTGGTCATCAAGTACGTGCCCTACGTGGGCGACAGCAAGCGGGCGCTGGACGAGTACACGTCCGAGATCATGATGGGCGGCACCAACACCATCGTCATCCACAACACGTGCGAGGTGAGCGGGGCGCCCGCGTGGGGACGGCGGGGACGTTGCACAGGGGTAGCGGCTCAGCCCGGGCCCCTCGTGCCCCCCAGGACTCCCTGCTGGCCAGTCCCATCATCCTGGACCTGGCCATCCTCACGGAGCTGTGCCAGCGCATCACCTTCTGCACCGAGAGCGACCCCGACTTCCAGGGCTTCCACAGCGTCCTCTCCATCGTGGCGTTCCTGTGCAAGGCGCCGCTCGTGCCCGACGGCGCGCCCGTCGTCAACGCCCTCTTCCGCCAGCGCAGCTGCATCGAGAACATCCTGAGGTACCGGCCTTGCCCGCTGCCCTTCGTCCTGCCAGCTCCATGGGTATCTTGCCCGTCTCGGTGGATCCTGGTGTCCTGTGGGTCCTGGTGTCCTTCGGAGCTGGTGGCCCCGTGCCCAAGGACGCTCAGGGTGCTGGCGCACAACGCCTGGGGTGGCTAAAGCCAGCGGGTCCCAGAGGTGGCCGGTCCCCATACCTGAAGGTCATGGGTCTTAGTGCTCAGGGACCAGGGTGCCCAGTGCCACTGGGTCCCGGTGCCCAATACTGGTGGGACCCAATGCCCAATTTCCAGTGTGCTCAATGCCGGGGTGCCCAATGCCTGCGATGCCAGTGCCCAATGCCCACGGTTCCCCATGCCCAAAGGATCCCCAGTGTCCAGCACTGGTGGGTCTCAGCCCCCAACGTCCAGGGGATCTAACAGCAACGTGCGTGGGTGCCCCATACCCAAGGTCTGGGCTGTCCAAGACTTGTGGGTGTCCGTGCTCAATGCCCAAGGTGGCCAACGCCAAGGGATCCTAATGCCCAATTTCTAGGGTGGCCAACGCCAATGGGTCCCAGGGCCCAAGCTCCAGGGTCCCCAATGCCAA